ACACATACCAAGATCCAGGTCTATAGAGCCTGTGTCCTGAGCACACTCCTGTACTGCACTGAATCCTGGACCCTTTGTGCACGGCAGGAGAGGAAGCTGAACACCTTCCATATGCGTTGCCTCCAACAGATTTTTGGCATCACCTGGCAGGACAAAGTTCCAAACAGAGTAGTCCTAGAACGAGCTGGAATATTCAGCATGTATACATTATTGAAACAGCGACGTCTACGTTGGCTTGGGCATGTCGTGAGAATGGCTGATGGTCGGATTCCAAAGGATCTCCTGTATGGAGAATTAGTGCAGGGAAATCGCCCCAGAGGGAGAACACAGCTGCGATACAAGGATATCTGCAAGCGGGACCTGAAGGCCTTAGGAATAGACCTCAACAGATGGGAAACCCTGACATCTGATCGTTCAGCCTGGAGGCAGGCAGTGCATCACGGCCTCTCCCAATTTGAAGAGACCCTTGTCCAGCAGGCCGAGGCAAAGAGGAAGTCACAAAAGCAGCAAAACCAGGGAGTTGGACAGGGGACAGATTGAATTTGTCTTCAGTGTGGAAGAGATTGTCACTCTCGAATTGGCCTCTTCAACCACACCAAACGTTGTTCCAAGTCCTCCATACAGAGCATGTCACCATAGTCTTTCGAGACTGAAGGATGCCTACACCTGCCAGTCAGGATGGGGAATAGTGGGCTACATGGATCAAACTGTGTAACTCAGCGCATGGCTGTTCCTTATGCTCCTATTTGCGGAAAGGAACCATGATGAGCATGTTTCCAGGCCTCCCACAGCTCCCCCTTCCCTGCTAGAATTTTAATTCTCCTTCATTCCCCTGCTTGTGCTCTCGAATGCCAAATAAACGAATAGAAGAACCTACAGTGGGTGAAAGGGGTAAGGACCTCTTTTATTTATTGGTTTTAATTCAGATGTGCTTTTTAATAGATCAAAATATTTCAATTCATTCATTAAACTAATTAAAAGGAATGCAATTGCTTTTGTGTCTTTACTCAGAAGAATGTCTCCCATGTTTAATGGGACCTATTTTCAATTAAGCATGTAGAAGGAACTACAGAACCTTTAAAATAGGACAGGTCCCTCAAATGCTATAGAAAATCTAATTTTTTGATTAAATCTAATTTGGATTATTTATTGCTCAATTTCCAGACAGTCTTTAATGTACCACAATATTGCCTCCTTTTTTGTTGTTTCTTTTTTCTTTTTTCCTTTTTAGTTGGACGAGTTTTTAAAACAACTTTACAATCCAGTTCTCCTCTGTTTTTAAACATTATCTTCCTTGTGCTTGGTTAGAGTTATTCAGAACAAAGCCTTGTATAGCATTCAGATCAGAAGAGCATTCTTGTCAAACATTATTTTATAAGACATTATATTAATCTCCTGCACGTCAAAATCATTTAAAATATAAATAATGAAATTTTGTATTACAATAATTCCTAGCTATTAAACATTACAGTAGAAACAGAAGATTGGCAGAAGGTCTTTGTGAATGCTGCATTAGAAATCCTGTAACTCTTGCAGACACAAACCTTGCATCTGGCAAGCATCTTTTCAGCCAATTCTATGAATGTTTCTTCTTTTTCTGTTTTTAGTGACTCATTGAAATCCTCAATAAATTCTTCAGTAAGTTCAAGTGGATTTCTAAAAAAAGACATCCAATAAAAAATCCAGTTTAATTTTGGAACGCGTAATACATAGAATCAAAATTCCAAGTATGAAATACAGCAATAGAAAGCTTATTTAATTTTAAGAGTTAAAGTACAGAACATAAAATGCAAAAGCATAAAATACCTTTGCACATTATACTGGGAAAACTGCCCTGTAGAGATAGTCAAGTTTCATTTGGGAGCCCACAACAGACCCTCCTTCTTCCACACATGCACTCTCTCTGTATAGTTACACCTCCATCCATCCTTTAAAACTGGTTTTATTGTTAATTGCCATATCAATACCCTGCACTCCCTCTTATCTTGTCATCCTGTATGGCCTTATTTCTCTGCACAACACCTCAAAACTGCAAGAAGATGTTCAGATGACCGATTCAGTGAAGGGTGAAGTACGGGAATTCCTGAGACAGGGTACTACCTCATTTGATGTATGGGGACTGCATATTTATAATTTGAAAAAAGGCAAGAAAACACTTAGGTTCAACAATCACAGATCTAGCTCTTTAATTATGCAGAAATAATCAGCACAGTCTTTACAGCACACCTGGGGGCATTTTGCCTGCAATAATTCATACAGCATTGATGGGTTTTCTCCTGAAGTGACAGCAAATGAACCATTTATATCTGTTGGTCAACATGAGGAAGAAAGCAGAGGTGTACAAAAGGCCACTAAAAATAAAACTGGAGATGTCTACACTGGGTTCTAAAGAGAATGAGCTTGCCTGCTGACTTTGTAAAGTGGATCAAAATCTTGCATAAAGATCCAAAGGCCCAAGTAATAATCAATGGATTAACATCTCCACTCTTCAACATTTCAAGAGGAATTAGTCAGGGCTGCCTGTATTTATTATTACTGTTGACACATGCTTTATGACAAGATCAAAATGTCAGAGGAATCCTTGTTCATGGCCAAGAATCCACATTTTTATTACATGCAGATGACATGTTGCCATTTATGGCATGTTAGGGTTAATACAAAATACTGTTGATTCAGAATCATGGAAATGCTTAACAGTTTATCAGAAGGGGGAATAAACGTTTGCAAAATAACTACAGCTCTTGTGTTATTTATAGTCTCCAAGGTTTATCTGTACACATCCCCAGGAAAATTCTTTACCCAAATAGAAGCATTGTGCAATGTCCTCCTTCACAGCACAGTAAATCACACTGGAGTAGGTCCACTGAATCTATGTGGATTTAGTGACTCTCCTTCCTTCATAAATTCCATTGATTCAAATGGGACTCTAACTATGATTTACTATGCTAAAACAAGTCACAAGTAGACTATGGAAACACTGATTGGTTCAAAATTGGGAAAGGAGTACAACAAGGCTGTATATTGTCTCCCTGCTTATTTAACTTATATGCAGAATATATCATGCGAAAGGCCGGACTGGAGGGATCCCAAGCCGGAATTAAGATTGTCGGAAGAAATATCAACAACCTCCGATATGCAGATGATACCACTCTGGTGGCAGAAAGGGAGGAGGAATTAAGGAACCTTGTAATGAGGGTGAAAGAGGAGAGTGCAAAAAACAGTCTGAAGCTCAACATCAAAAAAACTAAGATCATGGCCACTGGTCCCATCACCTCCTGACAAATAGAAGGGGAAGATATGGAGGCAGTGACAAATTTCACTTTCCTGGCCTCCATGATCGCTACAGATGGTGACAGCAGCCCCGAAATTAAAATACGCCTGCTTCTTGGGAGGAAAGCGATAACAAACCTCGATAGCATCTTAAAAAGCAGAGACATCACCTTGACAACAAAAGTCTACATAGTCAAAGCTATGGTTTTTCCTGCAGTGATGTACGGAAGTGAGAGCTGGACCATAAAGAAGGCTGACCGCCGAAGAATTGATGCTTTTGAATTGTGGTGTTGGAGGAGGCTCTTGAGAGTCCCCTGGACTGCAAGGAGAACAAACCTATCCATTCTAAAGGAAATCAACCCTGAGTGCTCACTGGAAGGACAGATCCTGAAGCTGAGGCTCCAATACTTTGACCATCTCATGAGAAGAGAAGACTCCCTGGAAAAGACCCTGATGTTGGGAAAGTGTGAAGGCAGGAGGAGAAGGGAACGACAGAGGATGAGATGGTTGGACAGTGTGATCGAAGCGACCAAAATGAATTTAACTGAACTCTGGCAGGCAGTGGAAGACAACAACATCTACTCAGACGCTCTGTTAAAAACACTGAGAATTGTCCATGTCACACTGGACTGCAATGTATAACAATTCTGTTCTGTGTTTTATTTAAACTTACTTGGGTTTCTGCTTCTTGGATTTAAAATTGTTCTCTTTGAGATATCTAGCCAACAGTCTTTGCTGAATTTTCTGATGTTCATCATGGGATACAATTCCAAATTTGCGTACAACTGGCACTTTGATAATGGGCATGTTGTTCCCAAAGCAATCTAAAAGAAATTACAGAATATCACAGCCATATGGAAATGCAATCTTAAATTTTTCTTCTTTAGAGAGAAAACAACAATTTGCAGTCAAATTGTCAGGTTAAAAATGTTTTGCCAAATTGCTGTTTTCTGTCACACATGCTAGAAGGAAAAGCAAACATAAAACTGTTATTTGAAGATCTACAAGGGAATATACTATATGACATTCTTGGTAACTTTGCTGGGGAAAATCACCTTTTTGCAAGACCAGGATAATGAATAATAAGCTTTACATAAAATCACCATGGAATAATGAAGTATAATTGCAATATGGTTATGTGTATGAATTAAACACCCCAGTCTACCACACAGTTAAGTGAAGGTATTTGGATTCAAGCATGTTTATTTCATTGATTGCCCTTCCACAACTTTGGCTTTAAAATACATTGATGTGGCACTTAAAGAGTTATTCTTCAGTGTCTTTCTCTGTAACATTTTCACTAATATGTGTCAAATCACATTTATTAATTATTGTAATACTGTAGCTACAACGATGCAAAATAAATAAAATATTTTAAGACTGCAATGATTCAAGAAATGCAGAACAGTGTGAGATTTCAGCCTTAATGTTTAACTCTCATTGGTCAGGTCACAACATTTTCGTACCCCAAAATAATTGTTGATGCATAATTCCCACAGAATTAGGTCTATGAAACAAGCATTCTACGACACTGTCTCATAAATCATTGCAGACATTGTTCCTCAGTTTCAGCAACTTGCTATGTACTGGCCCAAATCCTCTTGCTTAGTTATGCTAGCGTAACACAAATGCTGTAACTTTTGGAGGTGAATTGCCTTAAGATATCACTGTCAACATTATCTATTGCATACTGACTCAGCATGCTACTGATAATGTCTAACATAATTCCTTAACTGAGGACATTTGGCCTCCAAAACGTATGGTATTTGCATAGCATTGCAAGACAATTTTTGCCACTATTTGTTGCTGTTTTACAGACAATAAAGCTGGGCAAAATTATCTGAATGTTGTCTGATGTCACAAAGCAAAGAAACAAAAATGGGTTAGGGACTGATCACCCAGGCAAAAAATGTGGGAAATTCCACAGGTGGGCTGCTTCATATGCTGTTGTTGATGATTACATGATGCGAAAGGAAATGTGAATAAAGAGTTGCCCCACCCAAATCCAAAAATTTTCCTTTCTTTTTCTAGGCTTCCACTTTTGAAAAGCCAAATCAATTTGCATCAAGTTCAGGCATGTGATTGCTTGAACCAGTCAGCAAAAGAAAGATCATCTGCATATGCACACAACACACACACACACCTTCTCCCTCTCCCTTGGCCTCCCGAGGAAGGATGAACTGCATGTGTGAGCACACACAAATGGACACATACACCTTCCCCCTTAACTCTTTGCTTCTCTGTCCATGGACAGAGAGGAGGAAGCCAGTAGGCATTCAGCAAAGTCCAGTCAGCCAGATTTCTCCACACGCACCCCAAAGTCTGTGCGCCTTAAATTGAAGAAGGCTGCATTCATGTAGCATGCAGTCTGGTCTCTACTGGAGTTTAGTCCCCTCCTAGTTTGCCCTTTGATTATCTCTCTTTTTTAAAAAAAAAAAAGACATAAAGGAAAGCCTCTTGTGTTTTCACAGTTCATAGCAACGCTAATTACATTAGGAAGCCTTGATTAGAAACTTCCTCGTTGTGTTAAGCAGCTGCCTTTTAACTGCGCCACCTGCTGGTCTTTTAACAAAAGGCTTACTGCAGAAAGATCAAGGGAAATCTGAATTCATTGTGTAGTCGGAACCTTACTCTGATTGGCTGTATTCAGAGAGAACACTGGAAGTCTCAATAGCTTCAGGAAGTAGATGATGTTTAAAATTTAACATCTACAAACCCTAACTCCAACCCGCAGCTGACACCCAATACTTCTTTTTTCTTCTGCTCCATTCTGATGAAAGCCAAGAGCTATTTCAACATCACCTCGTAAAACTGAAAAGCAATAATGCCTCACCTTGACCAACCAAGCATATATTGATGGTTGTTTCCAATAGCCTTTTAAGAAAAGCATTCAGGGCTACATTGTATGGGAGAAGAAACTAGTTCCACACTGCAGCTGTATGCATACTTCTTTCTGTGGAGGTTATTCCAACCTTCCAGAGCACATGAGAGGCATAAGGGCTGGAGGGGTGGGAGGCAACTCTGATCTACATGTCTATGCCTTTCCATTTTCCTAGTTTTAGCAGCCAAGGAATGTTGGCATGTAATGGTATGGCAATTCATTGTGACCTATGTTCCAATGCTAAATTAATACTGTGAGGAAATCATGATTTGAAAACTGGGAGGAAGCCATTCATATGAAGCCTTAGGCTGTTAGGGCTTTCTTTGAATTAGTTGGTTGGCCTAGAACAGTATTTCCCAACCTGGGTGTCAAAGTGTTTTTTTGGGGGGGGGGCGTTACCTTACTGTATATGTTTTGTAGCCTTTCTTGATCTTTCAGAGTGGGATATTAAAATTCGTGTTTTTTTTTTGGGGGGGGTTACCTTATATGTTTTGTAGCCCTTTCTTGATCTTTCAGAGTGTGATATTAAAATTAGCATGTTAAAGTTAGAAACAGGCCTTTTGCTGGGAGAAATAAAAAAGGGATGATTTTACCCCATTAAAAATGTCTTTTTATGCAAACATGGCAGGGGTGTCACAGGTTACTTGGCTGTTACAAAACAGGGTTGTGACTCAAGAAAGGTTGGGAACCACTGGTCTAGAATGATGAGTTTCTTTCATTTGTTAGATTAAAGCAGTGTTTCCCAACCATTTCCAAGTTGTGACCCCCTGTTACAATAGCCAAGTAACCTGTCCCCCGCCCCGCTGCCGCATTTACATTAAAAGGCATTTTAATGGGTCCTTATGTCATAGGTCCTCATCTCCCTCTATTTCAATATGATTACACTGCAATATTCAAAAGGAATATTTTGAATATTGTGGTGTTAACCATATTGAAACAAATAATTGTTGAAAATCTTTATGGTGAAATTTCCTATGAAAATAACTGCAACTGAAAATATCCTCAGTGACCCTCCAGAAAACACTTTGCAACCCCCTTCAGGGTTGTGACCTACAGGTTGGAACCCATGGAAAGAGTAGCTATGATTTCCCTGCCTCTGTAGAATGGCAGTATTTTCGTTACAGCATATTTGCATCCAGGTGTGGCCCTGCTGCTCTGCATGCTTCGAAGACTCCCACAATTGTGTAATTGCATATTGAATCAAAAAACAAACAGGCAGCCACAACAGTAAGTTATAAAAAAATCTTACCAACAGCCAATAAATATGGTACACTGAGTATTAGAAATAAATTGCATGGTAAATCAAATGTCCTTATCTTGCTTGAACAACAGACAACAGCTTTGGCCTCTATAACCAGTTTATATCTGGATCTTAAACTATACATTGTGAAAGAGGAACATAACGTCTTCAACTCAACAATGACTATTCAAAAACAGTCTGACTATATCAGCCAAATGCTCTTTCAGAAGCATTTCTTAAACATATGATTTAACTGCAGTTCCCTTTGGGATAAAGGTTATTGAATGAATTAATTTTGTTTTGAACAGATTTTGGACTTCACAGTGTGCATGTGCTTCTAAATTCCACACGACAGCTTGGATACTAATTTCAGGCATGAAACAAATGGATCCTCCACATCTTTTCAGTGGCTAAAAGATATATATGACAGCCCTGGAAGGATCATGACCTCTATTACTCAGTGGATTGAACTTCTAAGCATGTGGTATACAGGTGCTAACTTTACATTTGGTCACCTTCTCTTGTTCTTATAATGCAATATGTGAAATTCCAGGGAGTGCTCTCTCATTTTTTTTTTATTCACCAACCCATTTTGCAGAAGGTAAGTCCATTCATCAGGTGATGAGGCTGATTGGGGTTTAGGTTTTTTTTGTAGAGGGGCTTGTTCGTTGTTGTGTTTTTACTGATCACATTTTATTTACACTTGCCAGTTGCCAATTGAAATCCTGTGAGCATTCTGAGGTTCCTGCCAAACAATTACTGATGTAAGAGTCTTACCAAGTCATCTGCCTCCAGTTTGAATAACTGATGCAAACTGCAAAAAAAAAAAAGCAATCATCATTTTCTGATTTGTATTAAATAAAACCCAAATAGTGCTCCCCATTTGAACACGGCCATGATTGGAAAGTTATTTTTTCAAACTGATATATATATAAAACTTTTAAGTATTATAACAGTATTATAATTTTACAGGAGCAATGTGCCATACCTGTATAATACTACTTTAAAGAAAAATTGCTGTACTATTATGGCACGATACTTCTGTAATGTTAATTTTTTAAAAAATCATTAATATTAAGATTTTTCCAATCATAGCCATTAGACCTCTTGCTAAAAGGGCAATGAAAAGCATATTTGTCCATTAGTATATAGATGTGTATCTGAGCACACATACAGCTGTACAGTTTGATAGAAGCATGGTGGTACAACACTAAAGTGGCAATGTTCTATTATTTTTTTATTGTAAAAGAAATGGAAAGATATTTTACTGCTCCTTCAAACATTGATTATATACTTAAAAATATGTCATAAATAGTGCTAGCTGCAACGATAATAAATTTCTGGCAGATAGGTCACTTTTGGCCTTCATCAAAACCATGCATTTTAAACATGGAAGAGACAGTGCTAAGGACATCTATAGCAGTAAAGATTGTGTCCTTCTGCCTTTTGAAGGTTAGATTGTGGTTTTAAAAAAGGCAGGAGCAGTTCTAGGAAAACACATCAGGATTACAGATGGGTGATTGAGTGAATAAACCATATGAAATGCTTGTCTTGAAGTAGATCAAGGTTGGATGAGTAAAGGAGGGGGAAGGAATCCTAGCTTCTTCTTAGATGAGGCAGTGTAAATTCCTTTTCATAGGACATGATCGTATCACACATCTTGTGTCTTTTACCAGAAACTTTGAGCCTTAACCTAGCCAGGATGGTGGGCCACAGACTGCTGTTGGCATTAGACATTCTCAGTGGCTGTTAATGCACAAATGCCCTGACAGTGCGCGCCAATGTGGATGTCTGCAGCTCCTAGAATCTCCCAGCCTAAATTCCTGCAGTTGTAGTCCAATAAAATAGCTTTTCTAAGTCCAGGGTCTGCTTCCCCTTTTATATTTTACACAAAGTATATACCATACACACCCTGTGTAGTATAGGACAGTTTGTAGCATTCTGCTGGTGGTACCAAGGAAGCCTCTATCTACTAAAGTCCAAGTCCTATCAGTTTAGTATACAAGAGGGTCCTTTGATCCTACAGTCAACTCTGAATGAATCAAATTGTGTGTCCTTTGCTCTTTTTTTAAAATTCCCAGACATCCTCAGTAGCTTGCAATTTGACTGGACAAACAGCAAGGGTGGAAGGACTTGTGCCAAATGAAGTGAGGCTTGAGTCTTGGACGAAGAAAAATGTTAACTGCTCACAGTAAACATTAGGTTAAATGGGTGGTATAAAAATAGAAGAAATAAAATAATAAAAGTTATTTATTGGTGATCTTCTTAACATCCCCTCCCCTTTTCTCTCTCTGTAGCCAATCATCGTCCTTTGCTTGTGCCTTTCTCTGCCCCTTCTTTCATATACAACTAGAGATACCTCCCCCTTGCATCTGGGGAGAGACTGGCACAAGGTGGCTTAAACTAAGGATGTTTTCCCCTGTTAAAGTGCTAGTATTTTTTTTTCTTGTTGGAGGTTGAGAGGAATGGCAATTTACAGTTGGTTACTGTGGGGAAAAGAACCATGGGAGAAAGACGGTGGAATGGCCGTAATCATTAGTTGTAACTACTAATCATTTTCTGAATTAAGATGATAACCGAAAATTGCATGCTAGAATGAATAAAACATATATTTACATTATTCATATTCTGCTGAATTTCTTATCATCAGGGAGAAAGACTTTAGATTTTGAGAGTGGCAATATGAGGCAGAAACAATAATGTAATTGTTCTTTCGTTATCCCTTTGTCAGAAGTGCAAAGATTTAACTGATGGGAACCTCAAACCTGATTAAAAATTGAAAATTGCCACTCTGCTACAGCATTTTATAAGCAATAAAGAATGTAGGAATGTTTGGAATTAACATGGGCGGACTGATGATTCATCTTCACAGCTGCAAAAAAATAAAAATAAAATTAGAATGATCTTTTCAAAAACTCAAGATAATTGGCTTGCTTTAATTCCATTTTTCTTATTCCTGCAGTGGGTGAAGATGGACAGTAGAGAACATTTCATGAAAAATGCAGTCCTTGAACTCATAGTTTTGTTAACCAGACCAACAGAAACTACTCTGCTGTAACATAATATTGTAACAAAATCTTACCCTGTTTAAGGTTTCCAGACCATTCAAAACAAACAGATAGCTGTATGCTGCGAATCACAGGGGTACTTTTGATGGGAAGTTAATGGTTGATGAATTTGGACATGATGTAAATTTTAAAAGGATTCCAATACCTCATGGAAAATCAGATAGAACTGTTGAGCCCTCTTCTAATTATGAGTGCTCCAGGTACAGGGGAAATGCCCCCAACCACGTTGGTGTTGCACACCCTGAGCTTAACTTAAACTATAGAGGGAAAGAAGTATGTCTACCTTTTGTATCTGCCCCAATAATATCTTGATTAATCAACCCTGTGGTTTCGTAAACATATGTAACAACCAGAAAACACAAAAAAGAGAGGCTCCAAGGATTGGTGTCAACAAGTCTTCCAGTAGTCACAGAACTTATCAAACCACCTACCCACTCACTTCAGAACGTCCAGTAGGTCTAATTCTGAATGGCGCCTGGACAACAGATATGGCCCTCTAGCAGCCCTCTCCCAAGATTGACTAACATCAGATAAGATACAATGTCAGCCTCTGAATTTTCTATCTTGGAATATTGCAGGATGGAAGAATAAACTGGTTGACTCAGATTTCATACAGTACCTTCAGTCATATGACATAATTTGCCTGCAAGAGACTTAGCTTCTGGGAAAAGACTCTTTAAATTTACAGGGATATAGGACATGGGAATTCCCAGCTCAAAAAAAAAATTAACTTCAGGCTGAGGAAATGGGGGCCTGGCTATTTCAATTTCCTCCACTACTGGCTTGAAAGCAGTAGAGACAGCTGAACTAAACTCTAGCTATTGGCAAGTCCTAACAATACATGGCTGCGAACCAGGTCCTTTGATCTGTGTCAACGTCTATCTCCCACTGAGAACAATTGGTACTGCTTCAGAGGCTTGGGCTAAATTAGAGGACCTTCTTGATACATTACTTTCTGAATATCCCAACTATTTTTATAATTATTTTTTATAATTTTATAATTAGTGGTGATTTTAATGCTAGAATGGGAAACAGTGTTTGTATGATGGAAAAGGCCCTTGGCTTGGAGCTTGAAATGGATAAAACCACCTCCCAAACCTCCCAAGACAAGGTAATCAACAACTATGGCAAAGTTCTCTTTCAACTGATTTACAAATTCCATCTTGTAATGCCTAAATGGTTCTCACCTGGACACCTCAAATGGCTACTTTACTTTTCTAACTGGTAAGAGTGCTAGTGTTGTAGACTATGTTATAGGATATTCTGCTGTTCTCCCTTATGTATACTCCCTAACAATAGATGACAGGCCAGAAAGTGACCATCTCCCCCTTAGAGTGTCTTTAAGATTCCAACAAAATCGGTCAGGGTTATTAACAGATCACAAAATGCTAGGCCATGTTTTAGGTGAGAAAAGGTTTAAATGGTCTATTAACACTGATGGCAGTATAAGGCAGATGCTGAGCACCAATAAACTCCAAGACAACATGCTCTTCTGGGGACCCAGAACATTTGCAAGGTCTACCAGGATAAAATTCTTGCACTTAAACCACACCTAACCATTACACACCCAGAAAGAACGTCTGAAGCTCGACACCCAGAAAGAACATCTGAAGCTAAATGGTCCTGATTCGACAGGGAATGTAAGACCAAGAAAAAAGAGCTGAGCAGAGCAACAAGACAGGCGAAACATATTGGCACTGATGAAGCTACAGCTTTCCTGCAACATCTACAGAGAGAATACAAACCTCTACTTAGAGGAAAAAAGAAGGTTTTTACTAAGAGAACTGGAAATCTTTGGGCCGGCCTTCATTGAGGGTAATGACCCCAAACTCTGGAAGCAGATAGAAAGAGGCTTCTCACAAAAAGCCTTTGAGATCGCCCACTCCATCACGCCAGAGGTATGGGTCTTCCACTTCAGTCGCATTTTTGGGGGTAGTGTTCATAGAAACATTACACATGAGACCCTCTCTAATTTCCCTGAATGGCCACCTGTTTCCCCCAAAGAAATTGGGGACCTGATTCAAACTCTTTGGAATGGCAAGGCTCACGGTGAAGATATGATCCCCGCTGAGGTCTTTGCTATTGACATTCAATGGTGGTCTCCCATTCTAGCCAGTCTATTCACCTACATAAATAGTACAGGCAACCTTCCCACAGGTTGGCAAACTAGCATTGTTCTGCCAATTTTTAACAAAGGCAATCCTCTAGATCCTTGTAACTTTAGACCTATCAGTTTTCTCAATGTAGCCTCTAAGCTTTATGCTAGATGCCTCCTGAATAGGCTTCTAGATTGGGACAACATACATTCTATCATCTTCGAAGAACAGGCAGGCTTCAGAAAAGGCAGAAGTACAATAGATCAAGCCTTTGTTTTACATCATGTAATTAGTAAATACTGTACACCAAACCTCCAAACAAATATCTTTAAGCTGCCTTTGTGGATTTCTCATCAGTCTTTGCTTTGACCTGATAGATAAACGCCTATGGTATAAATTGGGAAAAACAAGGATAAACGCCTATGGTATACAGTAAATTGGGAAAAACAAACATTGATAAGAGAGACTCCTGTGGCTCATACAACAACTACGTAAAGAAAATACGACGCAAGTGTGCATAGGCTTACAGGGAGCTCTATCACAACAGGTTCACATTAGCCGAGGGGTGAAACAAGGTTGTATTTTAGCACCTTTTCTCTTCAACTTTTATATAAACAGCCTTATCCCTCAAATGGCTTCCCCCACATTCT